GAAATGAATTAAATGGGTGGAGGGAAAAAAAGGTACTTGTGTGCCTCACAGCTTTCCAGTAGCATTCATTTGAAATTTACGCAATTTACAAGTCAAAAGACTAGTGCAACTTCTCAGTGGCACAACCATAGCTGTCAGTCCATCAGAAAACCTCAAGCTGTTCTTCGACTTCAAGATCATCAGCTACAATACAGACCTTGGCAGGAGCAGTTAGCTGGCCGCTGTCAGTGACGGATGAGACAACAGAATGCAGTTTGCTCTTTCACAACTACATCAATGCTGTCTTGCCCTGCTGACAGGCAATGCAAACCTGGTTTTGTCAGTGAGCCAGGCAGATGCGATCCCAAAGACACCAAGGAGGCAGATAGGAGCAGTAACAAGGTGCCATCCTCACAGTCACTTTTCTGGCTGTAACTGCATTTTAGCAGATGTCCAGCTCAATATTACCAGTGATACATCCACTCTGTGCCTGAAAACCCGCTACATCATCTCCGACTGCAGTTCCTTCTCAGCCAGCAAAACGCATGGTGCACAGGAACAGGTCAAATGCTAGGAAACGTGGGCAACTCCCACACTGTTCACAAACATTAACGTCCAAACCCAAACACATTCTCCATTACAAAAACAGAGGCAAAAATCCAAACGCAAAAAGCAGTTATCGTGGTTAGGGACAACTAACAATCCTTGACAGCACTACCACTTGGAAAAATACTGTGTTCAGTTCCATCTGCAGCTACTGTTTTGTTACAGGATATGCTGCTCTCCCAAAGAATTCTACCAAGTGATTTTTTTAAAATTCTACTCCAGAGCAGGATATCTAGACTGAAACGGCCATGGTCTGATAGGAAAGGTTGGAGAGCTGATTAGGAAGTACAATATACAATCAAGATATCAACACTTGCTCCCAAACAGCTTAGAATGATTTCAAAGTGTACAGAAGCAGCAATAAACAGTTCATATTTCTGTCCTTCCAGTGCAAACACTACAAAGGGCAAGCTGGGCGAGCCAGTGCTAAATACGAGTTCCTGGCAAAGCTCTGCCAGCTCAGGCACTTGTTTGTTAGCACACCGCTCCTCCCGACACAGCCTCTCCGTGCAACCTTTAGAGGATGCTCCGACCCCCGGGGCGACCCGCTCTTTCTCTTTGTTCAGATCATTCAGCAGAGGCAACTCCAAGCCCCACTTTGGCCTTTTGTGTTTCTGCTACATATTATTTATCACTCATAACAAATAAGTGATAAATAATATGATGATATAATATATATATGATGATATAATATATATGTATAATCATGAAAGATCAGGCAGTGTCAATCTCAAATGTACCCCAATACTTTTTGCTTTATGAAATTTTTTGCACATGGATCCTGTAGCTTTGAAATAGCTGTCAACACAGATTCTCCTCCCTGCCCCCTTGTTCCTTATTTAGGCCTGATCTCAGTGCAGGGGTTGCGTTTATCCTTCTGACGATTCAGTAACCTTCACTCCACCATAACCCTGGAAATTTGCACTAGGACTTCACGCACACCAGCTCTGCTCTGTTTTAGCACTTTGCATAATAATTTTGGGGCTGTACGTATTTGCTACCTGGTGCATGTATTTTGCTGCCATAGCACATCCGGGATACGCTACGAAGCTGGCATTTCCCCCAGCATTACTCCCCTTTCACTATTCCAAAAGCTCTGCAAGTATACTACCTTTCCTCAAGCTGTAAAGAGAGGAAAAACATCACAACAAATGAGTCACTCTGTTCTGTCTTCCACATCAGTACTTTTGCAGTCACTTTGGCAGCTCTGCTGTTTAAACCAACCCCTGTTTCTATCACATTGAACATGCATCCTAGTTAACATGGCCACTTCCCACTCCCTGGGTACCTCAGGCAAACCTGCCTGCTTCCTGAGGAGAGCAACTTTCAGCTGCAGTCAGCGCTGTCTGGATGCTGTTCTCATGGAAGCGAGCTAATATCTATAGTCTCATGTGTTATCAGCAGAACGGCTTATCTTACGTGCAGAAACTATATTATAGTGGTGATGGACGTAACAAAAATTGAGCATTAATTCAATTTTCAGTTGCAGTATCTTCTCTCTGTCCTGACAGTTCAAGAAGTCGTCACTGCACTACCAGAGTGAGCAAACTCAATATGAGAGCCACCAAAGAGGAATCTCCGGGATGTCTTTTCGCACAGCCACTTTCTCCAACTATAGCTTCTCTCGAGCAGAATGAGCTAGTGAATCACTCGCTGGTCTGCCTTGGGTTAGCTTACAAGTATTTAAACCAGCGTGAAGCTCTGCACCTTTGATGTGAGTTAATTAAGCTCATACGGCTTTCGCCGGCCTGGCTTCTGCAGCTTCAGATGTGAAGGGAGCCAAATTAGACCCATCTGTCCAAATGGAAGGGAGTCCTCTCCCGCCATAAGGCATGCTTCACTACCCAGCACAGGAGCTGCCTTCCAAGAGCGCCGGGAAAAGGGGTTTCGTTGCTGCCAACAGCTACTGAGAATACCAGGTATGCCGAGTGTGGGGGTTTTCACAAGAACCACAATGCTGTGCTATCAGCCTCTTTGCACAGAAGCCTCAAGGGTTTGTCTACAAAGGGATTTCCTGCAATAACCTTTTGTTTAACACTTGGAACTTCTTGGCAGCAACAGATCTGCAAAATACATTCGATCTATTTGTCATTTAAAAATAAAGAAGGAAGTAGCAAACTTCAGTAGGGCAGAGGAGATGACTCTCTCTGCCTTGGTCCTGCAACCATTCATTGTGTAACTGCAGGTCGTGGTCTGTACAAGCTCTGGAAGCCTCTCAGTTGCTAAACTGGAATCCCAAGCAGAAAGAAAGTAGCCTTAAGTAATCCACGTCACCAGGTACAGTTGCTACAGAAAGGATGCAAACCACTCCCTACTGCTACTCAGTGCTAGGATCTGGGGAAGTAAAGGGAGAAGACACAGTTGCACAACTTCAGCTCCCAAATTTGTCTTAAAGGATTCGATTTGTAGAGCAACTGCAAAACTGTGATCAGATCCCACGCTAGCTCTGCCACAGTGCTGTGCCTCAGCAGAGGTATTCACCATACTTTGTGAGTTTCTGTACGTGTTAGAAGTTACCACCACAGCAAAATCATAAGACAAAAAAAAAATTCCTTCAGTAACCTGCTGTCTGCAAGACAAGACTTGAATGAAATATATGTAAGTCTGTATGTAAAAACATATGATACTTGGGAAGCACAAACTTAACACTGAAGACATAACAAAGCAGACCTAAAAGCTTTTTTTCTCTGTCACAGACATCTTTACGAATGTTATGAAAACTAACACAGACGTTTACAATGAAAAAGGCACAGCGATCAGCAACGCATACATACACACCTTAAGTAGTGACAAACATTTACTAATATTACAGGACAGTAAAGAAATAGTCCACCAGGTGAAAACACATGATGTTTTTGTGATAGGCCTCCTAGAAGGTTTCTTCTTACATCTAACAAAAATGAGGTATGGAGATGACCTGCATATAGACTAGTTTTGGCTAAAGTGGGATTTCCCAGGGAGTCTACAAAACTGAATGGGTGAAAAACTAGCTGGCTGGGCTTTAAGAATAGTGTTTAATATGCCGTACTTGGAGGCCAGTCAGGGGTCTACCCTGTTAGATTCCTGAGGAGGAAACAGAGGGCACCCTCATGAAGGTGACGGATGATGTCCACCTTGGGCTGCAGTCAATACGCTTGAGGGCAGGGCTGCCACTTAGATTGGCCTGGCAGGAACCTCACGAAATTCAGCTTGGACACATGCAAAGTCCTGCTCCTGAGGAGGAGCGAGCCCATGCACTGGCACAGCCTGGGGACCGGCTGGGGGGGGCCGGTCTTAGTAAAGCCCGGCGGCGTGCCCGGGCAGCAGGGGCAGCCGGCAGCATCCCCCACGAGGTCAACAGCAGTGTAGCCAGGAGATCACGGGAAGCGATTCTTCCCCTTTCTCTTGCACCTGTCAGGCCACGCTTGGACCACCACCTCTGGCTCTGCAGTCCTGCGTGCTGACAAACTGGAGTAAATCCGGGGGAGGGCCACCAAGGTGCTCAAGGACTTGAGCTCTTGCCCTGCAAGAAGAGCTGGGAGATTCAGCTTGGAGAGAAGACAGCTTCGAGGAGACCTACTGGCAGCCTGCTGGTACCTATGGGGATGGTGATAAGAAAAATGGAGCCTGGTTCTTCAGTGGTGCATGGCATGAGAACGAGACACAACAAATATAAACTGCCATGAGGGGTACCTCACAGAGTATCAGGAAAAAAAGAAAAGTTGGCTATGAAAACAGTGAAACGATACAACAGGTTGCTCAGAGAAGCTGCAAAGCCTCCACCCTTGGAGGTCTTCAAACCCAGTCAGATGAAGACCTGAGCAACCTGGTTTGAATTCAGTGTTGAGACAGCTTTGAGACAAAGGCTGGATTAGAGACCTCCTGAGGTCCCTTCCAGCCTGAAGGACTTGGTGACTCAAGGTCCACAGCTACAGTTTCTGTAATGCGTAATAATGGAAAAGGGTTCACAAAATTTATGATTAGTTACATTTGGGAGCCTGAAACCAGAATTACGCCTAGGAGTTCCGAGAAGCAGTACTTTAACAGTTTGCACAGTGCAACTGAAAACCAGCACGCCTTTCAATTGTGCTCACACTGGGAGCATCTTGGAGCAAGGAAACGATGCTTTCGTCAGACTCTGTCTTGCCTCCAAGAGCCGAGATTTGCAAGCAAATTTGCACAAGCAAAAAGTACTCTAATTAAAGAAGAACTAAGAAATGCAGGCTCCAAGGCTTAATGAATCATAACAAATACCTAGAAAAAAAATTAATCCTGCTAATTACCAAAGTGTTTGAGTTGGCGGAAATGTTTGTGTGCGTGAACACAGTCACATATAGTTATTTCCCTGGGTACAGCTCTTCAAGCTGAAATATTGATTCTTCATCTGGGGCATGAATGGAAATCATTGTTAATAAAGTCCTAACTTCTCTACGTACCACATCAAGGTCTTGAGAAACCCTCCGTTTGCGCAGCTCTTCCATCCTCTCACACACATCTGTGAAGCAGGTGTTGTAGTAGTCTGCATACTGCTGTGCCAGGTCATCAATATTTCCCAGTGACCCATCCTATGGTAGAAACAAAATAAAAAGAAAGAAAGGATAATCAATTTCAAAATTCTAATTTAAAGGTAACACCACAACTCTGAGGGAGACCCCCTCCTTGCAGCACATCCAGCATACTGCTCTTGAGTCATCCTCTCAACCCCTAGCCCCAAGCATGCTAACACACAAGAAGAGTCGGGAAGCGCAGTACTGCCGCAGCTCTTCAGAAACAGATGGGTCTTTGTAAATTCCTACCCAGAGAGAGAAGGCAGGGGCAGCAATGCACAGCAGTGGAACCACGTATCCCCAGGCACTGTCTGCCTCAATTCCCTCCCATCCATGTATATTCACATTCCACCTGGTTTTCCCAAGCAGCTGCCCACTCATCCAATAACCTACCATTACGTACGTTTCACTGACCTTATTTAGTTGGGAGTAGCCCTGCTTTCCTTGACTATGACTAACAGCAATTTAAAACATTAAACTTTTTGCTTGTAAGCACAATCAGTCGGACTGCAAACAATTCTAGCCAAATGACTTTAACAGGCACTCACAAAGACACTCTGCTAGTTGGTCTTGATATACTGGAGGCAGAAACATGGTTTGCTCAGTCCCAAATGTCTGCCTTGCTAGGCAGGATAGCTACCCTGTTAATAAACATCCAGGAATCTAATTGTAATCCTCTGTTAATTACAGTCCAAATTCATACTTTTTAAATGATGGACAAACAAGGAAAAAAAACCCAAAACAAAGAAAAAAACAGGCTGAATTTTAAGCGGCATGAGAAATCCTTCTAAACTTCAGATATGTATGCTGAGCCGAGAGCAGGCGGCTGCCGAGAGAGGCGAGCTCGCAGCGACGCAGCCGCAGCGCCCAGAGGAGCTGAGCTGCAGGCCGCAGCCTGCCCGCCTGACAAAAAAATGCAGGCCGCAGCCTGCCTGCCTGACGGACGGGATGGCGTCAGCGCTCTGGGCTCACCAGAGGAGCCATGCTCCACACACAGCTCACGTCAGCTCTCCAGGGAAGACCAAGCCTGTGTGAAAGCAAGCTTAACGCCCCAAAAGAGACAAAGGAAGAGAAAAACCACAAGACCTTAGAGATGAGACCTGATAACGGCAACACGTACTCATGGCGACCCGCCACGCACGGTCGCTGGGCCAGCAGATCGCGGGTGGCTGGCTTCACCAGTCAGCCACTCCACCAGAGCAGCACCCAACCTCCTAATGAGGTGTGGACAGCTCTGGGCTTCCAAGGCTCCAGCTTCGCAAAAACGAGAACAAAAATGCAAACATTTGCATTTACATCTCAGCTCGCCAGGAAGTTGTACTGGAAGGTGCCAATTAAATCATTTGCCTCTGCGGCAATGAGCTTCTTTTATGAGTTTATGTGTGCGGGTATGCAGAAAACATTGCTTTTGTCGAAAAACAAACACAGATACACAAATCAGCCCAAGCCAAAGACAGCAAGTATCTCGCATCCCGCAGCATCCACTCATGTTACATACGAGGAAATAATGTTGTAACTTAACAAAGGGTTATATACCTGATTTACATGGCCTCAGATTTTATCCCTACATATAGATATCTCCGCCATCCTCCTTTATTCTTCAAGTACTATCAAAAACATGGCAAAACTCAAAAAAAGACAAGATGCTTCATTCTCGTACTGCACCGATAGTGGCTGAGAGGGCCTACTTTAGATATCATCAAACTGCAAGTACAACTAGTCAGAAGATTAATTTTGAACCATGACATTTTGTCTGTCTGTTCATTAAACTGATCCCCCAACTTCTCCAAACAGTTCTAAACTGTCTCACACAAAATCCCCACCAGTGTGCTTTGTATTCCCATGTTGTTTTCAAGTTAATGAAATATTTCAAAAATATTCATATGCAAAAATTTAGCTCCAGCTTGAGAAGTCATTCATCCTCTTAGAAAGCACAGAGAGTCAAAGGAATTGTCTTAAATTTAAAAAAAAATCCCTAGCATTATTAATAAATAGAACAATAAAAGCATTCATTAATAATATTTTAAAAAAAATTTCACTCTGATGAATAAAGAGTAAGAGCCAATGTTAATTTTCCTAAGTTCCTTTTACTTTCTTGCTTTCATCTACAAGCCAAAACCTAGAGGATTTTTAAGATAATAGAAACGGAAGTCTAAACCTATCAATTTGTTCATTCTTCTTCCTCCATATATATAGCCCGACATTTTGGGCTCGATTCCAATACCGCGACAACACAGTCTAAGCAAACATGGACCGCCGTTTCAGTTTCACAGGGAGGAAAACGCATACAGCTACTCGATACCAAAAATAATAAGCCAATGCAATTTATAATAAGCCTTCAGTTCTGTGCCACAGTATTCCATTTTGACGTAGATGGATCCCATATTTGAAACAGCTTATATGAGTAATGAAAAATGACACAGCTTTCAAATGAATTCTTACTGATGCACCTGTAACTCAGTAGCCACTGATGTGCCCTTAACTGCTTTAGGTCAGTGATATTTTTAAAACCAAGACCTCACAGCAAACTCTTTCTCTTTTTCTTACAAATTTAAGAGTTAAGCAAAGCCCTACCATGAAGACTGCTTTGCACCAGTTGTGTTTATTGCCATGCAAACTGCAATGTTCCAGCTATATAAACCCACAGATCTTCTCTGGTGGAAAAAATTCGTAAGCAACACAAATATTGAGCAGAAATACCATTCCTGAAATGCTTAATTTAGTCGTAAAAAGTTACAACACGTTTCTCCTAAGGCTTCACTGTTGGCTGAGGCCTTCGCATAAAGTAGTCTGATAGCCAGGAAAGTAAACAGCCCCCTAGTTTTAAAAGGTTAAACTTAAAATGAAGATTTAATAAAATATTCTAATGAAAACAGAAGTTATCTCAGATTTCTATTTTCGGTTGTCAAGTATGTTCCTCAATTTCCATCTTACAATGCATGCATGCAACATATTTTGGCATCATAAAACACAGAGTAAATGATGAATTGCCCTGGAATTCCCAGAGAATTAGTTCTGATATGCATGTGAATACCAAAGGAATCTGCTGAGATTCCTGTTCATGGAGTAACTACAAAAAGAAGTTGGAATGATTTGACACTTATTATAAAGTTAGGGTTTATCGGTCACTGCACATCAGTTAGTTTAACATCCTGGCAGGATCCTTTGTATTTGACATCTGAAAGTGTAAAGGAGAAAAATGTTTTGTCAGAGAACTCTGCTGGCAATAAAGTTAAGTAAAAATGCATTAATATTTTAATAATGATAAAATAAAAATGCTATTAGCACAAGAGGAATAATGGACTTTGCTAAAGAACGTATACTTTTCATGCACCTGCACATGGACCTAAATACCAGGCACTGGCACAGCATGCATACTTTCTGCATAAATTTCCATGCAGAATAAGTTTTAGAAAAGGCTACAAGAAATACAACTATTTGAGTTTGTACTTTTCTATCTCAGATTCTGACAAAGTATTACAAAGCTGCATATTCCAGCATTTCCTCCTCTTATTCCAGCAGATGTTACAAAATGTCAGGAAAGAGGTCTTGGTTATCACATACATGTGCTCACTCTCCAAGCCACTGGGTGAAATTTATGTAACTGCAGAAATCTCAAAAATATAAAAAAATGTGTATGCTACCAGCCCGTTTGGTCAGCAAGCCAGATGGGCCTCCACCTGCACGTGGCAATGCAGATTACAGCACACAATGCAGCTATGCAAGCTCCTAACTCAAAAACCACTCTAGCTACGGCCACAGCACGTCCACAACCTGGGAGGTTAGGAACAGGTCAGAAACTGGGAGGAAAAAAACTCCCCCGACTTCTTCCTATTAAAATATAAACCTACGTGGAAAGGGCACAGACGAAGGAAGATGCTCTTTCACAACGCTTTGCAATCATGCCCTGGCAAAGGCATGTTTTTGACCTTCACAGCCTAAGATGAGAAAAAAAATCCATTTCCACGCCTGAAACACAGGACTACTGTGTGGAGAGTCACTGTAAACATTAGCCGCTTATTTCTGGCAGTTGGATCTTAACAGGGACGCCTCCCAAAAATGTGCGGAACACGACCCTGCATTTCAGCAATACCTTTGGTTTGGATAGCTGTTGGAAGTACGTAAATGAAAGCCAGAACGTGAGCCAGAGCAAACAGGCTCATTTGGGGAGGGGAGAGAGGTAAGAGGGAGGAGGGACCAAAAATGTGGTGAAATGAGAACATCTGCTGAAGGGAAACATGTCTGTGCCTTATAACCACCGTTTTCAACAGGACTTCATCTACATAGCACACATCCTATGAGACGTTTAAAGTCAAGCAGAACTACCTTAACTACAAAGCAAGGGATGCTCAGATTTTCATGGGACAACTATGAATGAGATACCAGTCCTTTTTAGGTATTTTTCCTAATGCGGGCTCACAGAAGCTTGAGAGACTTGTGCATCCTTCCCTCAACAGTCAGCCTGGCAGCCTACCTCCCTGCACTGCAAAATACACTAATACATGAACTCAGGCTTCAAATGATTAACCTGAGAGACACCGTATTTCATGTTCCTCCACAGTTCTTCCTAAGGAGGCACATTTAAACCAGATCCAAACCTTTTCAAAACAGAGGAGTTCAATCTGCGTGTACCTCTCTGGCTAGGGCTTGCATCTCCATTTGCTACAGTAATATGCACTTGCACGATGAGGACAGCCATCCACAGAAAAACCCGCAGAGCGTCATGATAATTGTATCTGTTATGCATTTCTGTCCCTCTTACCTGTCCCTTGCTAGCAACGGACTTCTGCCAGGAATAAGGCTGCTGTTTTGCCTTCTGGCTCAGCTTCAAAATGGTTGCCACTAAAAATAAACCCAAGTAGCTGCTACAGAAACGTTCCCTTCTTTTCTTTTCCTAGGGCTCATAAAGGACAACCTTCCATTCAGCAGAAGTAACAATTCCACCATCCATGAAGTGACAGGTTCAAAGTCTGTCTTGACAGTCAGCAGGGTCAGAAATGTGAATGAGACAA